AAAAAAAAAAAAAAAAAAAAAAAAAAAAAAAAAAAAACGGGAAAAGACAGTAGCTTGGGGATCCTTGTCTCTACCGTCTTCCCCCGACTTCAGTGTACTTTTCATTATCGCCTTATCTACTAGACTGAAGGCGCAAGGCTGTCGATCCGCTCCAGCAGCTGGGTAATGGTGCAGCTCCGACCAGGCCGTGGGCCCGGTAGCACAAGTATTGGCACATGTGCTACCTTCTTCCCCCCCGAATACAACATACGGTCATTATAGCTGCATTTGAGGCATCTTTCAGTCTAGATACAGCTATAATGGCCGTACGTTGTATTCGGCGGAAGAAGGTAGTTCACTAGAGATCTCAAAGCTGGTCCTCTCAGCCTCTTCTTCTTTTTTTTGGGTCAAAATTCAACTTCCCTCTCTGCCTCTCAGCCTCTTCTACTTTTTTCTTTGGGAAAACTTCCATCTTCACCCGAACAGAATGCCCAGTCGTTAGCGGCATATAGCCATATGTGATGCAATTTTCAGTCCAGATGCAAATATAATGACCGGGCGTTCTATTCGGGCGAAGCCGGAAGGACGCGGTCAGTTTGAAAATGCATTTCAGTCACTATTTGGGGCAAACCGAGGAAAATCGTGAATGTATACAACCCAGCTTTAGGGTCGGGTGGGGATGTGTTGTATTCGAGGGATGCCTGAACTGGATTTAAAACTGAAATCGAGACTGTGCCCTAGGTATACAACCCTTTTTTTTTTTTTTTTTCCCCAACCAATGCCTTCATTGTCATGAGGCAAAAGCCCCATGGCCGCCTGCGGCGCACTTAGTGCCAACGGACTGTGATAGTCCTCTGGATACCCCTGATCGGTATTAGCGGGGTCTATGACCAACACGGGTGTGAGTGTGAGTGCGAGTGGGTTGTGTGTCGCGTGTGGGAGAGTGTTGGCCATAGCCTCTGCTGCTACTGGATGAAGGGTGGGGGACGATGAGAAAGGGAGGCACAGCTACTGGCAGGTCTCGGTCTTTGTGTTAGCCAGACCCCCACTGGCGGCCCCAACCCTATACCCTAACCATTAGGGGCAAGGGGCAACATGAAATCTCCCCTTCACAGAGAGAGGAAACTATGCTTGCAGGGGTCCCCTCTAGATAGTCTTAGGAGTAGGTAGTGGAAGGTAAAAGAAACAGAAGTTGAGAGAAGAATATAGAAAGAAAAAAAAAAAAAGGAGTCCGAGAACTCCTCCAGAAACAACCCAGAATTGTACTTGGTAGGTAGTGAAAGATGAAAAAGATATGTTCCATGACATGGCTGAAGCCAGTGGAAACTTGAGAGAATATATATATTCTCTCTTTTCTCTCTTTTTTCTGCTTCTCTCTTTTTTCTGTTTTTCTGTTTTACTCTTCCCCATGGTTGGGGTATTTCGTTTTGCGGACCTACTGTATGGTTCCGTTCTCTTACTATTGATATGGCAGAATTTGTTTTGGTAGCCTTGTCTGCATCCCGGTTGGTTTTGTCCCGTTGTTCGGTTGGTTTTGTCCCGTTGTTCGGTTGGTTTTGTCCCGTTGTTCGGTCGATTTGGAATGCGTAGCGGCGCTTTCATGTGGGACTAGTCATCCGGGTTCTTTTTTTGGCATCCTGGTTGGTTGATTCCCGTTGTTCGGCCTAGGTTTGGGGGTGGTGCTTTTATGTGGGAATCGTCAACTGGGATTGTTTTTTATGCATATCTGTTGGTGGTGTCGAAGGATTGTTTTTTATGCATATCTGTTGGTGGTGTTGAAGGCTTTATCCTGTTTTGAATCCTGGCTGGTTTGTCCCGTCGTTTGGCATGTGA